TTCAAAGAACCGCCAAAGTCCTCAATATCATCTTATAGAGCGTTGAATTCTCTACTTCAAAACCTCTGCAACAGGCTCAAAAATGCACTACAATTAGCTGTACTCTTTTTACTACAATTCATCTAAAATTTTATTTTAAACGGAAAACCGTTCTTTTATATCAAATCGCTTATGCTGATCACCATGGACGCATGTTTAGGCATAATCCAGTGCGACGTTTGCATGTTCAAAGCGCTGACAAACGTAATTGCTAGGATTCCAATGTAAACTAATGGGTAATAAAGATAAATCAACCTTCTCTATACCAAAAATTACCACGACGTATAATTTCGGTTTCGGAAAAAGCGGTATTCGTCTTCACCGTGCTTGGAGAGTTGGCGATGGAAAACTCATTCCTTAGAAAGATTTAAATTGTATAGAAAAAATCAGTGACGTAGAGATCGTCTCTCCAACATATGATTCTACAACCCATGTTTTATCTACCACAACAGCGCTAAGAAAGAATGAAAATCCTCCGTCATCGTCGATAACAGCAGCAGCAACAATAGCTTCTAATACCACACTTGAGACCCATCACGATTTTAATGGTACGTCTAGTAAACTCTCTGAATGCCCGGAAGAAGGGTGCGTTGCCCCGTTCGTCAAAAACGGTTATTTAAACAACCACATTACTAGTGGTAAACATCGAAGAAAGTTTGAACGAATTTTTATGAAAGATCGGGGAATGCAGCTTTATCATTCGAAATTAGAGACAATTGGTGATAGACACATGATATCGCTGATATTAGAGGTTGCCAGTGATGCCCAGCAACACGGCAATATTGTTCGTCTTCCTTGTGGCTCGGCATTACCTAAGGGAGGTACAGTAACTCCACTAACTGCTGCACAACTTCGTTATCTAACGGATAAGTTCTTCGGCGGAGTGAATAACAAGAGGCGGCGAATGTCGGAAGAAGTGGCTGCTGAAATGCAACAGAAGAGTGTAAATGAAAAATATTTTTTATGGCTAACAAATTTTTCAGACGGGGTCAAATTCGATCCTTCTTTTCGCGTCTGAAACTTCAACAAGCTAAGCAACCATCGTCAGCTAAAACAACAACCAACGCGTCGTCTCCATCACCAGCAGAAATAGACGACGAAGAAAAGGAGTTTGAAGATGATCAGACCTACGTCGAAGCTGGAGAGCGAGCAAAACTGCGAGACGCAGTTGGTTTACTACGACATTCATCGAGGCAGCTTGCAGAGCGTGAGCGAGCAATATCGTCAAACGAAAGATTAGTTGAATCATCGCATGACGTTAGTCGAAAACGTCGTGCTCCAAAGAAAAAGTAGTGTGGTACTGGACCTATGTGGTACTCTCAGTGTAAATGACTCTGAGAACACGTCAATTCAAACCGGTATACCAGATTTGTTATAAAAGAACGGTTTTTCTGTTTAAAATAAAATTTTGGGTGAATTGTGGTAAAAAGAGTACAGCTAATTGTAGTGCATTTTTGAGCTTGTTGCAGAGGTTTTGAAGTAGAGAATTCAACGCTCTATAAGATGATATTGAGAACTTTGGCGGTTCTTTGACCTGTAGTAAGAAAATTCGATTGCAATCAGAAACGTTCAGCTTCTAAAACACGAATTTTTCACCTGATCGGAATTTTAAAAACTCAGTTTTGACGTGGAAGTGCAATAAAGCACACAGGTCGATGCTCGAATGAGCACATCCATTGCTCCGAAGAACACCATCGTTTGGACAAGGATTTGATGATCGTTCGGATTTGTTGCTTTCACTATTAGTTTCTGTAGGGCTCTCATCTACTTCAGCAGTTAGATTGATATGTTCCATGAGTTATTTTTTACTTAAATAGTGGGTGGAAAACATTATATCATTTTAGAGTAGAATGCTAAATAAACGAATCATTCATGACGCATTAAACGAAGCATTCATGACCCTCACCTACAATGGTGAGTACTATTGAACATGCAAACGCCGCACTGAATTATGCCTAAACATGCGTCTATGGTGATCAGCATAAGCGATTTGATATAAAAGAACGGTTTTCCGTTAATAAAATTTTGGGTGAATTGTGGTAAAAAGGGTACAGCTAATTGTAGTGCATTTTTGAGCCTGTTGCAGAGGTTTTGAAGTAGAGAATTCAACGCTCTATAAGATGATATTGAGGACTTTGGCGGTTCTTTGAACTGTAGTGAGAAAATTCGATTGCAATCAAAAACGTTCAGCTTCTAAAACACGAATTTTTCACCTGATCGGAATTTTAAAAACTCAGTTTTGACGCGGAAGTGCAATAAAGCAGACAGGTCGATGCAGTTTGGCTTTCTCTTTCGATGGAGACATTGGTCGACTCTACACGACCAAAAACGGCGGAAAAAAATACAAAGTTCGGAAGATTGCGCTTTTTCACGGTTTTTCATAGTGAATCTTTTTACCGAGCCTATAAGTTAGGGGGTATTGGGTTTGAAGGTGAATAATATTTTGATAATCCCAGTTTTCGGCGTAGAACCGAATGAGCTAAAAAAAAATATATGTTAATCTTTTTCAGGTTAGGCGATTTCTTCACGAGCTGCCGATTCCCCTCTTAAACGATTTCTCCCGTAAGACCTATGTTTTACACGAACGCTTTAGACATCCTTAGTGCCGACCTGGAAAGGTGTAGAGTCATCCGGAGTAACACTATTAACTATCTGGGATATTGTGAAGAGACGGTAAAGTTCTTGATGAGCAAAATGAGTTGATGAACCAACCTATAATATTTTTCTTCCCCTTGTCAATTTGATGAACCTTAGAACAACGACGTTAGTGAAATAGAATGGAAGAAAGAGCATTATTATGTACAAAGTCTAAAACACGAGTAATTACTCTGACACTGCCTTTGTAAATATACATATATAAATATAACAGTAGCAAAGCATGTCAAGTTAAAGAAAGGTAAATATCATAAATGACTTTTTTATTTCAAAATTACAGTATAAATATTTCTGGCAAAGCCAGCTGGAAAATACTGTAAGATTATAGCAAGCAGATTACCGTTTATTGATATGGCTGAAGATAGTAATACAGCTCCAGTTAACACTATCTCATTTAATAACCAACCACATGATGATAAAGAAGAGCCAAAAGACATACCACCGCTAACGAAGGAAGATTTTACTCCGTTTCAAACGTATAAAAATTTGTTCGTAATATCTATAGCATTTGTGCTCATATACACTTCTTATAATGGGATGACAACACTGCAATCAAGTATGAACACCCAAGGAAATGTAAGAGTAATAACTTTGAAGTCCAATATCTCAGTTCTTATTCATTGTTTATAGGTGGGTGTTAATTCATTAGTTATCACTAATTCCGTTTTAGTCGTAAGAAGTAATGATTAATGATAGATTCTTAGTTGATACTTCGTCCGTTTTCTAGTTTAGTTCCATATTTTTCATCAGCACCGTTATGCAGATATTTGGCATGAAATATTCTGTAATTATTGGAGTGATTGGATTCACTGTTTATGTCGCTGCCAATATTTATCCAACTCCGCCGCTGATGTATCTCAGTAAGTTCCCGCGTTCAAAATATAATCATCTGCATAATTTGTTGTTCAGGCGCCGCACTTGCTGGCATTGTCGCAGCTCCACTATGGATTGCCCAAGCAGCTTATGTTAGGGAAATTGCACAATACCACGCACGGCATCGTAAACAACCAGAAGAAATATCTCTTAATCTATTTCTTGGTATATTTTTCACACTATTTAGTGAGTAACTTTTGATACTTACTTTCCGGATTGTTGAGCAAACGCATAATGGAATGCAGAAGTAACGTTCTCACAGCAGATCATTTCAACATTATTTTTAGTCTGAAACTTTAGAAAACTTCGATTTTTTCTAAAATTGAGAAATTTTTGGAGATATGCATGCAACAATTTTAGCAAAAGTCTGCTTTTGAAGATCTAAATGATCTGAATTTCTTTGCTTTTGTTTCATAAGTTCTCAGTGATATTTTGGTAAGAAAACTGAATGAACGTAGTTTAGTTCCGAAAGTTGAGGCATTTGATTAAAACAGCTTAGAATATTCGAAACCTCGATTATTTTGCTAGAAATTTGTAAGTGCGTGGTAGCTGTGGCAACCCATAACACACTCAATTAAAGAGAATGCATATATTAAAATTGTATATATAGACGACATATATATTATGATTTGAGCAGAAGGTTACTTCTGAACTCTATTATACATTCCCTCACCACTTGCACGTACTTGAGATCTCAAAGAGAAAAACTTGTATTAGGTACAAATAAAATTTGGGGAAGCTTGATTAGCTACTTTGTTCTGAATGATACGACTAAACCAGAAAAAACAAATTGTGGTATACATTTTGACCCCAGAACAGCAGCCACCAACAACCAAACAACTGTGAAAGATACTACAGTAAGATTTTATAAAGCTAACAGCTTCAAATGAGGATTACTGAGAGTACTATTTAGACATGCATTTATTTTCAGAGATACATGCTGTGTGGTATATATGTTGCTGTGGGCATACTTTCAATGTTAGTGTTACTTTTTGGTCTGGATCAAATTCGCTTAGCCAAAAAGGGTTCGTATCCTGGAAACAAGTTTCCTTGAAATTATGATAACAAATGGATATCTTTAGAGCCGTTAAAGCAGTCCATGAAAAAGGGTTTGGAAGTACTGCGATCATTGTTTGATTTGAAAAACACGGAACAGCTACTTCTAATGCCTATCTCAACGTGGAGCACAATTGAAACCGCTTTCTTGACAGCTCAATTTACCCGCGTAAGTATGACAGAGAACCGATACTTTGAAATCAAACTGGTTGGAACATTTCTAGGCGTATGTTACTTGTGAGTTTGGAATTAAAAATGTCGGTTTAGCAATGATTTGCTCTGGTATATCCCAGGCTGTCAGTAGTTTAATATTTGGTCGTCTAACTAAATACACAGGCCGAATACCGTTCTTTATCATTGGCTTTGTACTCCATTATGCCATGATTCTGCTCATGTATTTGAAAGATTCGGATACGTATCTATTTATTTTTATTATCGCTAGTTTCTGGAGTGTGGCTGATGCTGTTTGGCAATCAGAAGTATTAGGTTAGTTCAATATGATCATCACAAACACTCTTGTTATACTTTGAAGTCTTCACCGTGTAGCTATGGTTAGCGCTTTATATGCAGCGAAGGATCCATCAGCATTAGCAAAAAATCGTGTGTGGAAGAGTGTGGGCTTTGCGGTGACATATGGAGTAAGTTTAATACTTTGTATTCTATATTCTCACTTGATGAACATTTTCTTTATAGTATACAAATTATGTGAACATGCGTTTATCACTAATATTACTACTAGTTTACTTAACAATTAGTCTAATATGCTACATTATCGTTGAACTTCGGATTCGATTAAAGAAGTCTACAGTGCCACACAATCCTCTAGAACTCGCATAATTTAGTCTTAGTGGCTCATTCTTACTTGTACTTCTAGTTCTTCATTCTCACCAAATAAATACGAAATAAACATACATTTTCCATGAAATTTCAAATATCAGAAATATTGAGCGTAAAACGGCACTAGAATATTTAACAAACGAATGATCTATGTGACATTCCTTGTCCTTAACCGATGCTATAAAATACGACAAACATTTTGAACAAAAGAAAGAGAAACAAAACCTCTTGAGAAGGAAAGCATATTTTTCGAAAAAGAAAATTTCAAGCATCATCTACTGTGGGAATAATACAAGACAAAATTTTCAGCTCGATCGACCCAATTTCTACAATCGATCGGATTATTCGACTATGTATATCCGAATCAGCTGTGTCAAACACGGTTGAATTTCAAACTAAAGTTCATCGAAAAAATGACAAAGTTGTTAAACTGTCAAAAGAGCAACTGGTTACACGTTTCCCTCACTTGAATCATAGTCATCTCGCTGGTGGCGTCGAGGTCGAAGGTTTTACAATGAGTAAAACCATTGGGTGATAATCTGGTGAATTATGTGTGCAGACCGGAGATAAACTTCGAATTCAATTAAAGAAGTGAATGAAACTACCTTTTCCTTTGTTTTGCCTTCGTTTTAGCATGTCTCGTTTCGTTCTATGATCATTTGATAGGAAAGAGAAATGCAGAAAAGTACAAGTGCGATCTACTGTCAAAATTCTGCTGGCTTATT